ATAGATAAGATCCACATAATAGATGGATAAGTATACCGGTACCATTTTTGACATCAAGGTGTCACCTAAGCATTATTATTACATTAATGAATACGGATTGTAATACTTTTTATTAGGAATAAAAATGAACTCAATTCTGTAAAACTCTCTTCCCAATAATAAAACACAATTTCTAAGATGTGGTTGTGGGTCTTTGGTAAACACAGTATCTACACCCACACCCACCCCATCCTCAAGATATAACTAGTAAACTTACTCCATCATTTCTTTGTTATAGGTGAGAATCAAGACTTGAAGCGTAAAGGAAAAGTAGTGCGTCGTGCATTTGCTCGTGTTCGTCGGTTCTTTGAAGGTGAAAAGTACATGAACGATGATAAACGTATGTACACGTCGGATTGCCACATACTTCTTCGTAACCATCCGCTTGTCATCATGGCTCAATGTCAGCAATTGAAACTTATGGAACTCGATTATTGTATTGAACTACGCAGAGAGAAATTTCGCCGATATAGTCTGGCTTTCTTTTCCTCCTTCTTCATTGTTTTTGCCTTTTTTTTATCTATCTATACGCTGGTAGTATTACGTGCTACACATCCTTTCTACTACTATAATCTTTACAATCAAAGTCTAAACAGTAATCAAAGTATCGTATGGGACTATGGAGCTGATACGAGTATTTGCGAACGCGTCGGTGCCTATCTCGTTGCATCGAACAACCCGAATGCATATAAAAGTCCTACTGAAAAGTGGGCGTACCCGTTGCTCGATACGTTAATGTTTATATTTATCCTCAAAAATACGGCTCTGATAATCGGTGCGACGCCACGAGTTTTTCGCAGAGCGGCACACTACCTTGAAGCTCTTGCACTTATTTTGTGTTTCACATACATCAAAGACTGGTCTTCTTGGCAAGTACCACTCGCCATTCGATGTCCAGTACAATGGGAACTGGTGAGTGAAAAGTCATGCAATCTCTTATTATCTGAGAGAAAATAACTCATCAAAATTTTACAGGAATTAAAGTATAAAACTCCTTTGCTTTCAGTCTATACTGTGCAATATGATATAGAAGTTCTATACGTAGGAATAGGAAGTTTATGTCATCAGCATTAAATGCTTCTTATATGAAGTACTGTTATACATAGGTCTTCAGTTGTAATATTACATTTCTTTGTATCTAATGACAGGATACAAGTGACTCATTCAGAAACTTTCAACTTATAGTTTGTTTAATTTTTTATTACTATTTGAATAAAGTAATTATTTCATTCAAGAAAAAAGTTGTAAATTGAAGACTAGCTAATTGGCCTGAGGTTTTTAGTATTTTTGTTTCTTTTAATTCGTTATAAACGAAATTCAGCAACAAAAACATTTATAATATTAGCAACTTTCTTTGCAGAATTTAAACAGATATGTGGTTTCTTCGTCTGTGTACTAGTATGACTTTCTTTACATCTCATATAGTCTGGACGTTTTCGGTACCTAACTCATTTGAAATGAATTGTAAGGCCTCTATTATGTTTCGCTACTTAATTGTATTCTATTCTACAAGTGTATACACGTGAAAAGAACTAATCCAGAGTCAAGAGCAAGTTATCTGAGAAAATTATATGCAGAAAGTTGACTAAGAGGAATTCTTGTTACACGGTTTGTACACGATAATAGGATAAAAGATTTGATTTGTAGAAAAAAACTTCAGAGTGCTGCACATTGATTTAGGGTTCCATTGGTTTGCTGTTTTCATGGCTTACTTTATTAACATATATGCGATACATACCATGGATGAATTTGGGTTTATATGTGGTTATGCTTCAATTGATTTTCATCAAGTTCCTCAAAGCCTTACCCATGCTCATCACATTAGTTTGTGGCTTTGGCTTTACTTATTATATGCTGCTACAATATCAAACAGTTTATGGAACTCCATACGAAGCTATGATGCGCACCTCACTCTCTCTTTTCGATTTGGGCTATGAAGATCGTTTATATAGTCCTGATGAAGGGGGCATCATGCTCTATCCTGTTATCTATTTCGTGTTTATTCTAACGCAAGTTGTAATGACCATTCTCATTACAAATCTGCTCATTGGTAAGTAAAACAAAAGTTCCATTAGATACTATCTAAGAAGGACATTTTTGAAAATGTCCATGTTCATTCGGTTTGTCTTCTCTTATAGGACTGGCTGTTGGTGAGATTCCTACTTTGAAGACCCAGGCCAACCTCCATCGCAACATCATGCTCTATGATCTACTTTCTGACTATGAGCTGGTACATTTACAGGTGAAAAGCGCTGTTCGTTTTTCTATGTGGCGTATGCATTATCTCTTTAAATGTTTCCATTGTTGCCGTTGCGATCGATCCGGGGACCCACAATCGTTTTGGAGTTTTCAAGTACACGCGCGTCCCTTCATGAATGATGATCGTCGACCATGGATTGGCGCTCGTATCTATCACCGAATTATGGGGTGGCTCACGGAGGAAGATATTGACAGTTACATTTCAAAAGCCAGTGTATGGCGGAAGAAAAACTCTGCAGAAACTGCCGAATAGATAGAGAGCTGAGAGTGACTGAGTACATGCGGAACAAATATAAAACTCACACACAGCTTTTGTCAGCACCTACATTAATCCTGAAATAACGTAATTGTCTTCGAATATTAACCTTTTAATAAATTTAAAAAAAATATTGACGTTTTTTGAAGGTGTAAGTGTGGATGAAGGTAAAGGTAATGAAAAGATGAATCTAATTCTGAACCCGCTTGAGGGTGTGGGTGTGAGTATCCTATTCTATTCTATTCATATTCAAACTCACACCCGACCTGGATCATTCACTTTCCCATCGAAACGTTACAAATATCCTTCACTTTGCAATTGTTAGAACATAAATGAATGGTTAAATAATCTGCACCATCGATACATTTACTGTTGGTTCAATAAATCAAAAATTAAGTTAAACTGAGCAACGTTTCAGCATAGACTCTGACTCTTTGTGAACTGCGCTTACTTTCTCATCTACGTGGCTTTTGTAGAAGAAATATTCTAATATCTTAGCTTATTTTATTTATTGCTTCTAGAAGGAAAGAATTGAATATACTTTTTCTTATTGAATATGCATCGTAATAAATACGAAAAAGAAATAACGCTGTTTTTAGCAATTATTTTAAAACGCAATTGTAATACATCATATTTATATACGATGTAATATTATGCAGGAGAATATTATTACGTTTGTACGAATGCTAATTTTATTCACGAATGAAAAACGTCCTCGACGCACTTTACGATCTATTAACATTAAGCAATCATCATTTAATATATTCATCGAAAAGAGAATCGACGAGAGAGAATGCAGAGAGAAAAAACTTTGAGTATGCATATATATATTAGGTTTACATAAAACTAAAAAAAATATTATTGTCATTCGTATTATAAGCAATATGCGTTGCATCTTGTTTCTTGTTTTACTTGCCGTTGTTTTTTTCTTAGACAACGATGCTTTTGTTTCCAATTCGACTCAATGTAAGTTTCAATTTCGTTTGATATGAAATCACAGGACTCTATCTAATTTAGCTGATGAATGTCCTCCTATGCCAAACAACGTTCGATGCAAATTCGTTTGCTCATCTACTATGAAAAAACAAATGTGTGCAAAAGATCCCTTGTGTTGCGCCGATGACAGCAGTTGTGAAAATTATCAAAAGTGTTGTCCACCATCGTGTGGATGTTACAATAAGTGCACAAATGTGACAAACGTGCAAGATTAAATGATATGTTCACTGAACTGTGTTGAGAGTAATGAGCAAGGCAAAGTTTGAGCTATATAAATTTAAATAAATAACTTCAAACTGATCAATTATTTCGCTTGCCTACAGAAATATGCATCTTGAGGGTGTGGGTGTGAGTTGAAATGAGAGATAAATAAAAAGCGCATACTCTCAGCCACTTCATCATCGCTAGATATTCATAAGTTTCTCGCAAAGATATTTTTTCTTTCTGGAAACAAATACATATCTAAGAAATGAATTTTGTTTGAAACTGAAAATTTTACACAAAGACGAATTCTCTGATTATGATAACTAATTATAGTTATATACCTTCAATAAAATCATTTTCTGCTCAAAATCTAAAACGTCAGTTATCATGTGAATCTTATTTGATGTGCTCCTGTGGCGTAAGTGGTAAACGCACCCGG